GGTTAAATAAAATAAAATATTATTATGATAAATTTTGCATAATAATCCCACCGCCATTACTTTTTTGGGGGACTGTAGTAATTGTAAAGTGATAAGTGATATAGCTATAACTATACAAGTTTGGAATATAAAAAATAAAAATATTCAATTGTTACTCTTTGTATTGTAATAATTGACCAGAAATCGCATTTAACTCACTCACAACTTATCAATGATATTTATAATTTGATGTCTTATAAGGATAATAACACAAATCATAATCAGGCCACATAATTCATTTTTATAGTAGGTAAGCAATATAATATATATTCAATAGCGTAACATTTACAGTAAATTCTTTAGGAATAGTAATTGAAATTTATGTTGTGGATAGAAAACATTACCCTTCATATAGGACGCATAGACTGTTGCTGAGCTGGAAGATGATTATTCTACAATCAACAAAATCGGAAGACAATAATTTTGTCTTTTACAATTATGTCATAGCAATTTTATTTTACTAGTATGATTTAATTATCAATATTTTAGATGTCTCAAAAGAACCTGTAGCAATCATTGCATGTGAGTAATATAAAATTTAAAAGATTCTTTTTCACTCGTTTATAAATAAAAAAACTAAAAAAATTGATACCATCTACTTTATCTTCGGTTAGATATTAAAAATGGCAAGATATATTATTTTAGAAAATAAAAACTTTTGAAATAGTTTGTGGTTACTATTCATCAGCGCCAGATCATTATCAAAAATATGGACTTGCACCATTTCATCATAGAGCTTGTATGTGTGAGTTAGCAAGGATCTCTACATGATTAATGGTGGTCGCATATGAAATTTTATGAGAAATTTACACAAGAACTCCATTATCTCTCGATTATTTCAATAAAGTGATTAATGATAAATGCAGTAGTGTAATGATTCCAGATGGTGTGTATTGTATTTGACTAGTTAAAATCTTTATTTTAACTGTTGTAAAGCTCTGCGTAAGCTTTGTCCAAAACTTTGGCTAGATGGATATATTAATTTTGTATTGGTATTTTTTTTTCTACATTTAACTTTTTAATCTGCACATATTATGGAAATTTTATACTCGAAAGAACTGGGTCAGATGTTTAAGAGCTCTTACACTGATATTATGATATCCTTTATCAACACCGGGTAGTTAGTACTTATAATAAACAATAGTTAGTGGCAAAAGTAACTTACTGTAATGATGAATGTTTAATTGTTTTAATCGTTTTAACTATTACCAAATTTTTTTATTTTTCATTATATTTCTATATAATTTAATGATTTAAGTTTGAAATTTTTCAATCTCATATCATAACATCTATAATAATATTTTCAATTTAGGTTATTCGTCATGTCAAATATTTCTTCTGTAATCAAATATATATTTTGATGTAATCTTTATAAAAACTTGAATATTTGCAATGTATTATGATTAAAGATTTTTAAAAAAATATTATAAGAACAATATTATCAAGAAAATTTGCTAATGTTTAATTCAAAACAGTGTTGTCAGCGGACACGGACTGTCCCGTCTCGGACTGTCCGCCACTTTAAATGTCCCGGACAAAAGTATTTGGAGACCTATTTTTACTAAACATGCAAAAACTCACATAATAACTATGCATACATTTTTATCAAAATATAGATTAAGGTTTTGATGAATGAATATGCATGTAAATTTTGAGATTTTTAGAACGTCTAGGAAAATTTGAATATGAATGCAAATTTTTGGAATTTCGGCCAGTGTAAATAATTTATAATTAAAATCGCATTTATTAAACTAATTAAGAAGGTAATTAGCATTTTTTTTGTTTTTGAAGCATTAAATCTATACGATAAATTATATTTCATATTAATATGAATATGCATATGAACATACTGGCTTCAGTTGCTGTCGTAGATTTAACAAGTTTGACTATATTGGAAATGGTATCCTCTTACTTGCTGAAATTGTTAAGCTGAAATTGACTCTACCCAAATTTTGCAAAAGACAAGCCTGTTATCATACGAACTTACAAAGCTACTTACTGCCCAGTAAAAAAACAATTTGTGGTTTAATATTCAATGTTTCTCCAGAAATGTATAAAGTTTCTCTGGATATGTTTTGATTTTTCTTTACATATTTAGCTGGTGATGATCTTATTGATTCCAAAATTTTGGCTAGATAGATATTTTCCTTCATGATTACATTTAACTTTTTAAGTTGGCTGCATAACTCAAATGAGCACTTGGCCAAACTATTTAGTCATACAAGTCTAGTCAAGACAATTATTACTAAATTAGGATTTTAACACTTTTTACACTGTACTTTTTTTTTTATTTGCAATCAAATATTTCTTCTGTAATCAAATATATTTCTTCTGTTAACAATCTTTACAAACTTAAAATACTTGCAATGTAGAATGATTAAAAAATTTTTTTTTAAAAACATAGTGCTGAAGAAATATACATATTAATATAATGTAATTTATAATATGGGACATACTGCAACAAAACCAGACAAAGTGAACATTGGTATTACCAAGAATTTCAGGGGTCAAAATTTAGTAATGTGATTATTAAAATCTCCCATTTGTTGTCTTCTTAATATTAAGTGATATATATAACTACTTCTATATAAAAATAGTTAATATGAAACTCATTTACATCAGATCTACTATGGAACCCAAGAATTATAGTACTACCAGAAGTATTTTGAAAAAGGAACAAGGTGAAAAAATTGCTCCTTATATTTTCAAAATAAATGATACTCAAACACTTGAAGCTTATCTAAGGAAAGAAAAGATTACTTATGAAATTTATCAAGAAGAAAGAAAAATAATAAATGTTAAGAAAAGAAAGCAAAATGAAAGTGTATTATTATCCAATAAAAAGCAGAAACATTTGGAAGAAAAATAATCTTGTTACAATATTGATTTATTTTTTCCTTTTAATTCTTAACAACATAGATCATAGCAATTAAAAAGTTATATGGGCTATTCATAATCAAATAGTTCTGCCAATGAAATGGTCTTATATATAATAATTGGAATTTAATAAATCAATGAATGATTTTTTTTTTTTTTTTGAATTCTTAGATTTAATTTTGAATAGCCTTTATTTTTCCACCAAATATATTTAAATTATTTTTTTTAAAAAAAGAGGTGATTTTATTATAGATTATAAAATTTTATATATTTCATATTCTTCTAATAAATGGTCTATTTTGTTCTTATTTATGAGATCTAAATCATTCTCATAAAAATATGGTGCTCTGATATAATGACAATAAGGTCCATTGTCACTGTTGTATATATATAGATCCATAAAATTCACTGATATCTCAGTTGGCCGTAATTCATGGCCAATTGCAGATTGAGGTATTGCAACTCTACTTAATATTGAATTATTAATTTGCTTTTCATCTATTTTGAAAATAAAACTATCATTTGTTTCAATTTCATATTCTTCCTCTTCAAAAAATTTGTTGTTATTCCAACACACTGGATTATATCCTCCTAATAATTCCCCTGTTTCTTTGATTTTCATTATGGTTACAGTTTGTTTAACATTGTAACATTTCTTTTCAAAGACTGAACTGGAGAATCCATCTTTAGATCCACGAAGAATTAATTCAAAATCATATAAATTATTTGATGCAGATGTATTATTTTCTCCGTCAATCCAATTTGTTATAAGATGTTTCATTTGCAAATTTAATAAACTTTTAACCCTTGGGTTTTTTTGAGATAATAATCTAGGTTGCCACTCATCATAATGATAATAATATTGAATAAGCTCTTCATAGAGTTCTGTATCAAGGACTTTTTTGAGAGGTTTTATTTTTCCATGAAAATCACTTGAGGGAATTAAATTAAATCTTATTAGAGGAATAATGTCTTTTAAGAGTGTCTTTAATTCAGTTACATTATTATCATTCCATTCTAAAATATTTTCTCTTGATTTGATTAATTTTTGTTTTTTGTTTTTTGGAGAAAATATACCCATTTCAATTTCTTTTCTTTTTACTTCCTCTTCTTTTTTTTCAATTTGTCCAATCCCCCATTCAATTATATAATCCCAGATGTTGATTTCATCTGTTATTTCTAAATCATCCCTTTCCAGAATTGGTATAAACATTAATCCTTCGATCATCTCATAACCATCATTATTATTAGGATTAAAAAATAAATTGGGATTTTCACAAATTAATTTAACACAATAATCATAAAGAATACTAAATTGTAATTGATATTGTAATGAGAATCCATAAACACGAATTATATTTTGATGGGTCCATTCTTTTTTTCCAATAATTAAATGATTTTGCAAGTCCTCAATCAATTCACTAATGCATAACTCATCACATGTCTCAAGGAGTTCAAGAGTTTCATTTGAGTCCAAATTGTCTACATTCATAGTTCCATTGTAAATATATCTTTTAAAATAAATAATTTTAAAGTATTAATTCAAAAATATATAATAATAAATATTTGAAAAAATTAATAAATTAATCCTACATTAAAAGAAGCTTAAATATATTTGGATGGATATTTTTTTTCTCAAATAAAATAATATTATCACTATCCTCAGATTTTTTAACCCAATTATTTGATAAAGCAGCTTTAAAGTATGAAGACCTTGCTTTTAAAATAATTGAATGAGTATCAAAAGTCCTAACTTCTTTCCCTTCCCCAACCCTAATTTTCACATCATAAAAATCTGATCCATTTAACAAGCTTGATAAGTCGTTTACAAGTTTATTGATATACTTTAATGATAATGGATCTTTATTGGAAGGGCTAGTTCATTTGAAAGGATTTATTTTGGGGGAAAAAAGATTAAAATTTATAACTAGAACTAGAGTGACGACAGGTGGTGGGCGATAACCACCACCACCATCCTTAAAACACTTACCCAGCAGCGACACCAGAATCATCTTGTTTGTTTTTTCTTTTCTTTTTATTTGCTACTGCAGACATTTTTAAAAAAAAGTAAAATAAAAGTTTTGTGATACAATTGACGCGCACATTAATTATTTATCCATTGGTTTATTTGGTAGGACAGACGCGAATTGATTTTTTTTTTTTTTTGGAAAAACAAAAAACAATTTATTTTTTGACAGAGTCCAAGGTGACAAAACGTGAGTGCTGTTGTCTGGCTTGGTTTGGGCCTCCTAAAGAAAATGTGTTAATAACTAACCAGAGGTACTACTTTTTATTTGTATTGATATTTTTATTTTATTATAAACATTTTAATTGGAAATCAAAACGCGGAGCAGATCATTGCTGGGTAATTACAAGATTTTCATTGATAATATTTTACTTTTTGTAATCAATAATAATAATATTAATATTACTATATAATTACAAGATGTCAAGGCAGCACACCGTTTAAAAAGAAACATTTCAATATGCAACGTTTGATTATCGAAAATTTATAAGTGTTGAAGCACGCATGCTACCTTGAACACACTACAGTCATTCTCACACGTTCCTCGTGTTCAAAAGGCTAATCTGACCAAGATTTCCCCGATTATACAATGATGCTACTGAATTCCAGGGGGGGACCACATGGTCCTGAAGTTTATCATGATTGCATCAATCGTCAAAGACACTTTCACTAATCTTCCCTCACAGCATCCAGACCAGAGAAGGCCGCTGGCACGCTAGCCGAAAAGTCACCTGCAACGATCCCACCTCTAGGGTAAGGGTGGCACTGTGACCAAGTCACAACTCTGGAGGAATATTAAGAAAATCTGCAACTCACTCAAGCACAGGAGGTCGCAATTCAGAGCAGGGTTGGTGGCCCTGAAATTGCATCTGGACTCTGATGTTAAGAGGAAAGTTGTAAAATAGTGTCTGTTTTGTATAATCACTTTCATAAATTCTCTCTTTCTCTGATACTAACCAATTTAATAATTTTGGATAGGGGACTGGATTGGGTTTTTGCCCAATCAGTCTTCTGTCCTATTGGTTAAAATTATCACATGATTATATACATCTTTGTCAGCAATGTGGCTGACAAGGAAAAAGTCATAAAATGGTTCAGATTTTGTTTGGTATGTTATAAATTAATCATTCCCATAAATTTTCTGCTTCTCTTTAATTTTTATCTGACAACTGAACTTGTTATTTTAGTAAATGAGGGTAGGGTTGTTGGTGAGTAGGCACGCCACTGACAAGACAGGAGACACCTTTGGGATATACCAGTTAAACTTGTAGAAAGGGATTCTTTGTCCAGACTTAGGGTCACATGGATGTTAAGCACAGAAAATGTACACTATCAATGTATGTTTTTTTCAACAAAATAAACATTTAAATAATTAATTGTTAAATATTAATACTTTTCATTTCATAAAAATTACAGCAACCCAGGACTCAAAACTCTGAATTCAGGGAAAAACCAAAACAGTAACCTTCTGAGTTGCAGAATTTTCAACCAGTTGCAGGTGCCAACTTTATGCTAGCATGGCAATAACACAAAGCAATCATCACACAAGCACCAGCTATCAGCAATCAATGCTCCATATGGTGACAGCCAAGCCTGGTCTGAGGGGAAGATAAGGGAATGTTTTGTCCAAAGCCTTCCAACATGTTCAATTGTTTCACCTGTGGAAAAAATTTCCACAGTTATGAGGCGTGTGAAAGCACAACACTTGCTTGTTTGTGACAGGAAAATTTTAATTAAACCTGACACCTGTGATCAACATCAGATTTATTATTCACAAGGAACCATAATTGATAATCATGAAGAATAATTTATTATTGTGAATCCCAGAGATCTGGGTAGACACGCATTACTAAAAGTTTCATTTATGCATAGCCTTGGTATTATCATTACCTAGGTGATACAATTGTTTATTATGTCAATGATGATATCAAATGTATTGAATAATAATCATGACCATCATGAATATTTGTTGGATGGGGGCGTTCACATACAAGGAAATGATTAAATAGCTAAGTCATGTTTGTTTTGTTAAAGATGTATGATTAATTATATTTAAAAAATTATTATTTTATTTCACCTTTGTAATGGCATTAATTTCAGTTGAATTAATGTTATTAA